TCCCTGCACAAAAATTCAGGGATCAACAGGTTTAAGATGCAGTGTGGTGGATTGGAAAGAGTCTGCGGTACAAGTAAATGAATCTAGAATTTTTCTTTCCACTTGTTCCATTTGGTATAAGGTTATGAGCATAATAACTTTTGGAGTCAGATAGGCCTTCCTAGTCGTATTATATTGGTCAAGTTACTCGGCCACTCTGAACCTCAGATTCGCCATTTGTAGAATGGAATTCTGTAGACATATGGGAACATCTCCCTCCAGTTCTGAGTGAAAGCTCTGTCTAACTCTTCCCAGGAAGTGAAGCAGTTAGTTGGCCAGCTCCTTATTTATACTCTAAGAAGATGTCAACGATACCCACACACTTAGCGCAGAAGTTCACGGTTACATGTCTGAAGGTTCATCATGGGAACTTTCAGAGATCTTGGCAAATCTTCGGTTAAGCTAGGAATTTTCCGATGACCCACACAGAGATAACAGCAAAGGTACAGATAGCAGCTCACACTTAAAAAGTGACTTGACATTCTAACTTCACCTGGGAGGAGGTTAACGCATGAAAAACGTCCATTTGCTCAAGGTGGGCAATTGTTGATAACATTACTAAACCTCTCCTTTTCTTTTTTCTTTTTTTAGGTAGGGGATATTTTCCTCTCCTTCATTGTAATATTTGATGTATTCTTCAGGATTAAAGCAACGGCTATGTCCTAATGTTCATTCAGTTTTAGGATAACCACAAAGGTTTCATGAACGTGAAATGCTAGTTACACAAATATGAAATGGATCTGTGATGAGGATACTGGGCACATGATATAACAAAGTCCCAAAGGCATTTCACCTGGGACCTGAGCTTTCCTTCCAGAACATCAGCAAACAGTTCAAAATTAATGTAGCACACCATGCAATTTGCCATATAGCTACACTAGCCTGATCATTTTTTTCCCCTCATTATATAAAACCTAATTAGTTAAAGGGCAATTCAAATGAAACTTTTATTTGGGGGATTTAGAAGTATTAAAGCAAAGGAAAAAAAAAACAAACAAACACTGCAGCTCTCTGGATAGCATGAACATGATTATTAATAACCCTTGGGTGGGGAAATGATTAACCTCGTTATTTTCCTCACGATCCAGGTTTCTACAGTAAATGGGTACTGAACAAAAATATTTGGATGCTGTCTGGAAAACAACTTTTACAAGGTCTCCAACTGGCATCAAATATTTTTAAATAAGAAAATATATCTGGGCTTTCTCGTCAGGCTGATGGATCCCTGTGGGTAGCACTTCCCTTGTTTAACGGTCCTGTCAATTAAATCATATTAGAGATGAAGTTTTAACTCCAGGATGAAGGTAATGCTCATTATAAGAGAAAACAGGAAAATGGAATATTTCCCTGAAGTGAACCATTATTTCTAATTGAAAGAGGTAGAGAGGAGGGGACAGCCAAACACCTCCATCAATATTCTAAGCTTTATATACCATGATCTCAATCACTTAAAAGTAATTTAAAGAAATAATGTATACTTGGGTTCACAGAATGTTTACATTTCTCTTTTGTTGTTATTCTAAGACATATTTTTTATTTGTTAAAAAATGCCAAGTTATTTGAAATGGTGTTTCCTGATGTGATCTTTCATGTCAGTGGCTGGCCTACCTTTAATCTCTGACTCATCTGTCATTTCCTTTCTTAAGTGATAATCACCCACACAAAGCTATTTGCACATTAGGCCAGTTCTTATTCTAATTATGGTCTTTATAATATACTGTTTAACATAATTAGTGAAATCACTTGTTTTTCAGGACTAAAGATCAGATAATATATGCTAGAAGGTAATCATTAGTTTATCACTCTAGCAAAAACATCCACACCAAACCAACTATTAATTTGCATCATCAGCATCAACAAATGTTCACTTGGATAAAATCGTGAATGTTTACTTCTAAATGTGTGATACATTTTATATATAAAAAAATGAAACCTGAATGAATTACTGCCACATTAGGTAAAGTAAAAACAGAGATCACAAGGCTCAAATGACTATAGATCTATTTTGGGATTCATTAATTGCTGACAATATCACCAGGATTTTTTCAGCCATGGTCAAAGCACATCAAAATGACCAAGTTTTTAAATCAAGAACCTTAGAAATGGTTGGGAAACCTATTTCCTAAAAAAATAGACAACAGCAGGTACAAATGACCTTAATGGGAAATTTGTTTCAAAAACATTTTTAGCAGATGATCGGAAAGGATGACCACTCTGTCCATGCATTTGAACCTTAATACCGGTATTGACAGTTTGGGACTATCCTGAAATCTATTAGGCCTCCAAAATCTTTAGTCATTGTGTATATAGCATATGTATGTGAACTTATGGTTACACACATCAATAATTTACATCAATAGTATGTATCATTCACTTGAGATATGCTTTGATGGTGGGAGTCTCACAGGTGTTACATCTGTTGTAATGGCATTGTCTATATACTGGGTGGAATTATGCTCATTGATTCCTTCTTTGGGATAAAGGGAAAAGCCCTGGCAAACACCTAAACTTAGTTAAAAATTCCAAGCAACTCCCTCTTCTCTGGCTTATACCTTGGAAACCCATTCCTGCACCCTCTAGAGTAGGCATTGAGTCATCTATGCGTGAATTCTTGCCCCTTGGAGCAAAGGAAAGGAATCCACTAGTGCACCCAATGAGCACCTTATGAGCCCACAAAGAAGGAAGGTGTGAATGCCATTTAAGCAGCCCAGAAGATCCTATCCTGTTTGATGGTTTTTATTGTAAATCTCTTGACTTAAAAGCCAGCACTCAGCAAGCTAGTTGTGTGTGATGTTGGGTGACTCCTGGCAGCTTTTACACCCTGTTTGCTGGAGAAATCTGGGGGAACACCCACTATACTCCAAGCAGAGCAGCCAGGGGCCTAAGGAAGGCAGGTTACAAACTACCGTTTTATTTGCTAGCGGGTTTTGGTTAGGTATTAAGGAGTTAAATTTTCCTAGGTTCCTGATAATAAAGGTGGATACATTTTCCAAAGGCAAAACAAAGCATCCTTTCAGGTCACCACTGATTTCGAAATAAAACAAAGCAAAACAAAACTGGAATTTCCTGACTCAGTGTGTAAAAGGTCAACATCTGCTGATGCTCAGAGATGGGGCACGTGGTGGAGGCGGCCGGATGAGATGTCGAGTGAGCAATACAGTCAGAGATTCCATGCAACACACGACTGACACTCCAAACAGAAACACACCCCAGCGCCAAAGAACTACTTTCCATGCATCCATTTCTGAAAATCTGACAGGTCAGACTGCCACAGCAGCCTCAATAATCCGTCTCAGCTGTCTTCCACTTGGTCCTCTTTTGTTCGAAGATGCATATGTAAATGAAATTGTCAAGGCCTGAAAGGAGCCCACTGTGGGTGTGTGTGTGTGTGTGTGTGTGTGGGTGTGTGTGTGTATCCATATATATATGGATATGGATGTGGATACATATATATATACACACACACACAATTAGGCAAATGCCAGGCGAGATACTAAAGCAGAACTCGGAGACTATGAGAGCTGAAAGTTTCACCTGCACGTCTGTAGCATTAATGCCATTTCAACAAGATCATAAAGGCCAGGTTGTAGCATTAGGCCGGTATCTAAAAGGATGTGAACACTACCCCTATGTACAAAGCCGCTGATTTTCATGGCATTTCACATGTCTAGTGCTTAACAGATCTGTGTCCAGACCTATTCACAAGCTTAAGTAAACTGGCTCGATTTACAAGTTGGAAGACCTGACTGTGCGTTTATAAGAAGTGGGAAGTTGTTTTATCCAAATTATCGGAGTTTTGCGTTCAAGATGGATGTCGGGTATTCAATGGCTGCTGTTTACACTGCAATCACCCTGGGTGGCCGGGCACCCATGATGAAGTCTGTGAGGGGTGAGACCACAGTGAAAATTCTTCTCTTCACCTACAGTGCATAATCTCTGCCTCCTCAGCACTCTGTTTTGAATGGGTTATTCAGCAGTCGTGCAAAGGATTTAGCCATCAGAGAGAAAGGGTGTGAAATATAAAAACATGTGAGATCCTGCTCTGCAAAGCTGTGGGGCATTCCTTAATGAGCATTTCAGGCTTGGTGTGGGGAGTCATTGTTTTATATGTGAACAAGGAGCTACAGTCTGATTCTCCCACCATAGCTGGGAGAATGCTCTTTGCAATGGTACTGGAGAAATGTTTCATAGAGGTTTGAAGAGGGATTTCTCTTTTAAACTGCTTCTATTTCTACTAAAAGATTTCTTGCAGAAATTTCAACTAGCCGGATTCCTAAATTCTGCATCTATTTTTTATACCCTGCTCTCTATCAAACTTAAACCTAAGTAGTCAGGAAGAGATGGATCACTGTATTTTTGGAGGGAGAAACGGACATACTGATTTTTCTCCCCTTCATTCCTCCAGAAAGACTAATGATCACCAACCTGCCTCTTTCAGGCCTTCACAAAGACTGGAGTATAATAAATTACTAAAATTCCCTCCCTCTGGTTTCGTGGCATTTTCACTGGGTTCTAATGAATATGCCTAAAGCGTTCGTTGGTATTCATTCTCTGCTTTTAAAAATTATGGGAGAGATCCATATCCAGTCCTAAGGAGAAAGTTCAATTTGTTGTCCATTACTAAGTATGGGTAAATAGGACTATTTATATTTTTGCTAAATGAGCTAGGGTTACCTAAGTAATTACACCTCCGTAAAGGTAGCCTTCCTTCATTGGTCAAAAGCAGTCAGGAGAGCCATTGTACTGCCATATCCACGGGGAAGTGATGCTTTGATAACTATTTTATCTGTGCTCTCACCCTGTCCGTGCAGAGAACACACACAACAGTTCAATTCACAAAGAAAATACCCTCTTACATCAGAAATGGACACTGGGAAAATAGATCTTAGGAGCTCAACAAGGAAACAAAGCTAGCCTAGACTTGGTTTTGTAACTTTTTTTTTTTTTTTTTTTTTACTTACTACCGATACTGGAAATACTGGGGATACCTGGAGAGAAAGAAAACAATAAAGAAAAACTGTTAGACAGTTATTAATACATGCCATCTTTAACTTAATATAAACATCTCAGAAACTTAACACTTAATAGCATTCAGATCATTAGGAAATACGCACAGAAAAAGCAAGATATCTATTCATCCATCAAAACCATTTTGCTTTCATTCTGGAACTCCCAAACTTAGGAGGGTTGGAAAATTAATGCTCAACTTCAACAGCTGGTTCAAGACAGCTTCATGATATCAAACATTTTGTGCCTGCCTGTAAGGTTAATGAACATTTGTACGAGGTTCAAAACAGATTTTAAACTAGGCTTATGTTCTGGGCATAGAATGCCAAATATACACTATGTGGACCTGTACAAATATACCCATGTATGCACCAGATCTCTTTAGATGTGTTACGAGATGCATATGTTAGCTGTTGAAAGTCACTTGGCTCTTGATTTGATTAATTTCACAGAGCCATCATTTTTAGTCCTCTTTTACTTGTCAGATATGTGGACTAAACTCTGTAATAGAAACTTAATTGAGCAGAATAATTCAAGAATACATTTGGTTGTTCATATTGATCATGGACTTCATCCATTCTCCCAGCTTCCACTTCAATTTACAGGTTGTGCGAAGGTGGTGGGACCATTTTGGAATGCAATGGACTTGGTACAAACGTGGACAGAAATTTAGTCTGTCCCCTGAAAACTCCTAGCCAAGAGCAGGGGCACAGGAGGCAGGCTGTCTGGGTTTGAAGCTTTGCTCTTACACTCACTGACCGTGTGACCTTGGGCAAGTTGCTTATGCTTGGTTTTCTACCTCTTAGGACTATTGCAAGGATACACAGATGGATGTGTGTAAAGTACTCAAGGTGTTGCTTGGCGGGTAGTGGGTACTCTACCCGTCTTTGCTATGGATTACTGTTACTGATACAGTCAGTTCACCAAACAAATAACACTACAATATATATTGCTGATGAAGAGTCAGAGATTTACATCTTCTCCGATAAATTTGGGTCGTGTTGCAGATGGGAGCTGGGGATGGGACTCAGACAGAAGCGAGTGAGAGTCCTGCTTGGCTATGGACCAGGTAGGTGATTTCAGGCAAGTTCCCAGCCTCTCTAGGCCTGTTTCCTCACCTGAAAGGGGTTAATAATATCCACTGCATAGGGCTGCTGTGAGGATTGAATGAAATAATCCATAAAAATGTCTGACACATGGTACATAGCCAGTAAGTGATAGCTGTTAATGAGTTGTGCAAGCTTGTTCTCCACATCACGGAAGTGTACCCCTAACAGGTGGTAAACGTAGGAATCATTAAACTTCTATTTTCGTATTTATCTTCGAACAACTGCCCTCTGCTTGTTTTAACATTTAACATATAACATAACAGGTTTAATCATTGTACCTTACTCAGAGATTTTGAGCCCTGTAGTCTTTAAACCCAAGAGCTAGTTTCCTATTTCTTAATGGGGAGGAGAGTAGGAGGAATTAAAGCTTACCATGATTTTTTAAAAAAACCTTGGAAGGAATGAAATTTTTATCTCTATTAAGTACATTCAGAATCTCTTGATTTTAAATGCATAGAGTTTAGGGTACTTCAGCTTAATCACTGATCACTCTTCCACCAAAACTGGAAATCTGGATTTCCATTTCTGTGTTTTAACTCTGTTCTCTGAACTGAATTTTGAGCTGAATGCAATCTCTTCAAAGGGCTGCTGAATTCCTGACCCGACACTTCAGCCAACTCTCTTTGCTGCAGCGTGACAGTGACTTGGTACTGAATCTTTCCTTTTTTTTTTCTTTGTAAATCCCCTGTTGAGTGAGGTGTGATGGCAGCATCTTAATTTTAGAATCAATTGCAGAAGCTCCAAATTTCCCCGTGATTGAAAATCCGGCTCCATTGGAACGGCTTGCCTTTTGTAATCCGTCAAAGACAATGGGAGTTGGGGTGGCAGGAAGAGACTTTCCGGGTGTTTTCAAACTTACACGGAGTTAGAGGACCATGCATAATGCAAGGCGAAGTTCTCAGGCTGTTTGTCCAGATGCAGTGGAGAGCAAACCTGCAAGACTGTTTGATGCAGTACTTGCTGCGGCTGAATACTCTAGAAAGGTGCAGAAATGTTTCCATTCCTTTGGGGATGCCAGTGCAGGGAGAAATGTTCACTGCAGCTATACAGAGCTCGCCAAGCGAGGCCATTATGAGATCCTATTTTCCTCCTGAAGATGTTTTCTATTACCTAGCATTTTGGATGCTTAAAATTCAGCCTCTTCCTCATTTTGTGGCTTACAATTTTTTGAGGTGCTGCCATGTGAGTCACTTTCTGTTCCATTGCTGTAAAATGGGAATTGCTTGGAAAAGATTTTTAAACTTCTCATTGGGATAAAGATTTTTGAAGTAGCAAATAACTGGACACCAGGGGATGCCCATTACTATGTTTTCAAATGTTACGTTTTTTTCCCCAAATGGTCCTTATTGTAATGTCCAAACACCTTGCTTTTCGTTCCCTATACACAACTAAAGAATTTAATAAACCCATTACATCCATTAAAAAGGCTACAAGCAAGCCGTGAGGAGTCTTCCAGATGCCTAAGGAATAAGACAAGAAGGCTACAATTCATTTCATGAAAGGTGGGTTTCTTTGGGCTCTCAAAAGGATGAATCAATGAATACAATTTCATCTTACAACAGTGACAGTGCCTATAAACTATGGGAATGAGAGTCAGATTATGCACAGGAAAGCTGTCTAGACACACGTTGGCAAGTGACAAGTGTTATGTAAAGAATATTTTTACATTTAAAAATTGAGCTTGGACAGGCGCCTGGGTGGCTCAGTTGTTAAGCATCTGCCTTCAGCTCAGGTCATGATCCCAGGGTTCTGGGATCGGGTCCCACGTCGGGCTCCCTGCTCCGCGGGAAGCCTGCTTCTCCCTCTCCCACTCCCCCTGCTTGTGTTCCCTCTCTCGCTGTGTCTTTCTCTGTCAAATAAATAAATAAAAATCTTTAAAAAAAAAATTGAGCTTGGAAGTTCTCTCTTCCCTTCCTCTTCATCTCCCTGATGTGAATTAGCCACTCCCTGTGATTGCGCGCCTCCTTGTGCAGGCCTCCCTGAGAAACTTACCAACTTATATTTGTAATTGTTTGTGTGTTTGCCTGAGAGGTCTGAGAGGCAACCACCATGTCTCATTCCTTTCTGTATTTCTAGTATCTGCCTGGGACAATGCCTGATACAGAAGAGCTGCTCAATGTGTATTTGAGCAAAACTTTATCACTTGTTACCAAGAATTTTCTATCCTAATGAAAATACTTTTGGTCATAGTATGATCTTGTCCCATATAAAATGTTCCACTGAAACATATCTCAGCATTCAGTATGAATGGATATTTTTGTTCTCTCTGAACATTTCCTCCATTCCAATAGCCGGAGTTATATGATGTACAGATTCCCCTCACAACTTTGCCTTCCAGAAAGTGCAGAGGCTCAAAACACAACTTGGTGCTCATTTCATATTTAGCTTATTTCCCTTCTATTCCTTCTCTCACACCTTCCTTTTAAACTCTTATTTGGATACTCTTGTTTGTATTTGTCTTTTTCCCTAAGCCAACCTGGAGCAATACAGATGTTGTGGTGTCTAAAGCATATTTAAATATGGGAGGTCTCTTTGAGAAAAAGAATATTAATTTTAAAATATAAAATTAAATAGAAATTGATTTTTTTTTAAAGTTTAGAAGGATTCTTGTGAGAAATCCTGAAATTTAGGCTTCTTAGGTTAAACCCATCTCTGAAACAACCTCAAAAATACTTGTGAAAGATAATAGATGATAGGTAGACAGAAAGGAAGCAAGATACCAGGTAAGCTAATTCAGAAAGAGTAATTTAAAATGAAGAGCAGAAAGGGAGTTAAACAATAATCTCATTGAGCCTTTCACTTTACAAAAGAGGAAACTGAAGGCACAAACAGAAGCAAGAGCCTTGTCCAAGTCAACACCTTTATATTCAACACTGGAACAGGTAATTCCTAATTCTTGTCTGCTGAGACATTGCTAACCTTGCACTGAGGAAATGAAGCCCAGGTATGCATGAGCTTCACCAGAAGGTTCTGCAGTACATGCCATATGAGTTTAATACTACTGCTTCTTCTAGAAGAGAAATGCTACTTCAGTCAGAGACACACATACATGTTGAATAAGCCAAAGGGCTTTGTATGCTAAAAGAATGAGCAGGTGCTCAGCTTATAGGCACTTACGGTTAGTCCCTCCTCCACTGGCCCTCCCCACTCCTATATTTATTTTAATGTTTGTTTTAAAGGAATTCTACTACAATTGGGGGATGAGAACTTAGTAGAATTATATAATTGTTTCCTCCTCCTCCTCCTCCTTCTTGGGATTTTACTAACCATCCCACCAAATAAATGGCTAAAGGGGGCATAGTTAGGCAACATGATGGAGATCTCAAAAATAAACATCCTAATCTTCTGAAGCAGACTGATGTAGTGCTAAAAGCCATAACTTTTTCTGAGAATCAATGCAAAGTCAGCAGCTTTTCATGGAGGAAATCAGAAGGGACACAGATTTGGCATGCCTCAGATTGAGAGGAAATACTGCCCCTGTTGTGATAGATGGCTTGAAAAAAGCCCATCAAGTAGATGACTAGATCTTCAGAAGAAGCCAGGCTGCAGCCATCAGGAGCTATAACTCCAAAAAACCCAGTCAAAGAAGAGGTGGGTGATGAGGAAGAAAACATTCTGCAGCCTCATTTGTATTCTGGAGGAATGATTTCCAATGTCCTTCCAGCCCCAGTCCCTGGTCCCACTGTGTTGATAGGAGGCACAGTGAGTTGTCTACTAGGAACTTGAAAGTGGAGGAAATAAAGTTGCCTTCACAGAATTGTACTGTGAAACCATCATATAGATGATCCAATCAAAGTCAGCTAAAGTCATCTTACAGCAACAGTAGGGGCCTAGGACCTGAGTGTATGTAACAGACTTGACAGAGGTGACAT